CCCAAGCCCCGCCTTGCCCTCTGTGCTGCTGGGGCTGGGGGGGGAAGGGGGAGAGAAAACAGGCACGACAAGGCTGTCCCCCAGCTCACTGAGTAGCTCTGTGCCTTCACTGTGGGGTTCAAAAAAGTTCATTAGCAAAACTAATTAAGGCAGAGTTGGCTTGGTAGCCGCTTCTAGGAGCACTATGCTGCCGCCAGCCTGCAGGAGCAGACCTAAATGCTTCCCCTCAGGCTGTGCTTCACCATGAGGCGTAAAATCTGGCCTGTCCTCCTGTGCCACCTTCTCCAGCTCCCCAGGGTACACCTACACCCCGTTCCGCTCACCCCGAGGGTGCTGGGTGTGTTGGTGACAGCACCAAAAGGAAGAGCTGGAGGCTTTGGCCAGAACACCACTGATTTATTGAGCATGGGGCAGAAGGAGTGGGGAGCAAGTCCTGCCCTATCTCCCAAAGCCAGTTGGATCCCGGCAGAGGTGCCACGTGCCCACGTGCATCCCCAGGGAGGCTGGTGGGACCCCCATGGTCCCCTGGGCATGCAAAAGTCCAACTCGTGGGGCAGAGGAGGTCAGTCACCGTCTTCCCTGCCCCACTCTCCATACCGGCATGGGGCCGCGTGCCGGTGGCAGTACCGAAGGGTCCTGCTGCTGAGTAAGGGGATACACAAGAGGATTGAACCTCTCGGCAAACTTCAGGGCACTGGTACTTCCAGAAGGCGATCTCCCTGTAGTTGATGCAGGAGGTCAGCAAGCCCCATTCCTTCAGGTTCCAGGCCACACAGTTGATGTCCTGTGAGTGCGCCCAGGGAACATAGGCTCCCTCTGCTCTCCCCTCATCTTTCCCAGACCCAGATGCTCGTTGTCTTGGCTGCAGGTGGCGAGCAGGGTGCTGGAGGGAGCTCAGGCCACCGACTTCACCTCGTTCTCGTGCCCCTCCAGCGTGGTGACGTATTGGGGAGGAAGAGGAGAGGGGAGGGTAGGAGAGGAGCTTCACCTTGAAGCCATCCTCGTGCCTCTTCCAGATGCAGGTGATGGTGTCGAAGCTGGCAGAGGCCAGGTAGGAGCCAGGCCACCCTGCATACCATGCACTGGTGCCCCTCGTCCAGCACCGCCTAGCAGGACCAGCCCGGTCCTGGGAAGAGCAGGATGGGGCCTGCTGTGGGGGGGAGGCCCCGCCCCCTCCTGTAAGCTGCCC